GGTCGCTCACCATGACCAGGGATGAAGACCAAAATAATCACTTATGCGTGTTGGAACATTCGCGGCAGTAGAGTAATGAATTATAGTCTTAGCGTTGCACGAGAATTCAGCACACACTAAGATAAAAAGGGAAACAACCTGTGATGACACCAGAAGTTTTTATGTGGAAAACCCGTAAAGGGAAAAACCACGGGGTCTGACCCAGTTGTAAAAATCTACTATATGTTGATGATTACAGCGAACCCTTGTCCCACAGACGGGAAATGTTTACTAGATTTCCAAGTTACAACATAAATTAACGACGTTTATTCAGCGGTGGTCAACGACAGTCGATGACGGTCGGCGTTGGTCGACGGAGGTGAGCGGTGATCGGAGGTCGTCGACGGAGGTTAGCGGTGGTCGACGGAGGGCGACGATGGTAGGAATGATGTTGAACTTGAGCTCCTTCACAAAGCCTCAAGTTCTCTCTCAAGCCTCCTCATCATGTGAGGGGTGGGGTTCTATTTATAGTATTCTGGATGCAATTAATGCAATTAATGCAGGAATATGTAGAATATGTAGAATTTTGATCGGACGGTCCGAAGAGCTTCCCTCGATCAGATGACGTTTGATGGACATTTGAGTGTCTTAATGATGTCATAATTGAGCAATCTTGATTTGGTTGGATTCGTCTTGTCGAGACGCTCTATTCGACTATGAACTCGCTGAATTCGACATTCGTTTGATCTCTTTAATATGTACGGAAAAAGGAAGTAAAGGAGATAAGATAAGTTATTTCTTCCCTTCTTTCTATTTATAGGGGCCTTGACACAGAATTCAATGGGAGTTCAAATATTTCATAATTAATAATCATAAATATTGTTAAGTTTTTTTGAATCACTTGTCATTGTCACAAAGTCATTCCGAAGAAGCAAAAGAATCAGGGAATAAAATATGTACACATAAAATGTGTCTGCACGAATCTTGAAGTGAACCAACAGCCACAAAGGAAGGGACATGGCAAGTAGAGGCCCACCAGGAGAAACTCAAGGGCCACCTTTCGAGCAAAAGAATCAAGGAATAAAATATGTACACATAAAAAATGTGTCTGCACGAATCTTGAAGAGATCCAACACCCACAAAGGAAGGGGCGTGGCAAGTAGAGGCCCACCAGGAGAAACTCAAGGGCCACCTTTCGACCGCCCAACTTATGTCAGCTGGGTGATAACACCAAAGGATCCACCTTTCAACCAACCTTCCCTTACTAGTCGGGTGACAACCAAATCTCACATCAGGGGATAACTGACTGCCCGTTCGAAGGATATGCCGGCCAAATTCTCGCACGACCACTGTAATAGGAATCCTCATTTGGACCAGACGGACAAAAACCATCTAAACCTCTAGCAAACGACCAATATTCTTTGATTGACCACTACCGATGGTCGTCCAGACTATATACCAGGTCAGACGCCTTTTTAGGCTCCCCGCCAACAATTATATAGTACCTAAAATACCCCCTATTGTATCTACTTTACTAAGGATACAATTGTAAAATATGGTCTCCTTATCTATGAATAAGAGACACATTTCATAAGTAAAGCTTACGAATTTTCGCTATTTGTTACAATACTCTCTTTGTTTTTGTCTCCTCTTCTATGTTCTCTTTCTTGTGTGTGCCTCCCACATAATTTCCGATTCAACATATACATAACATAACACTCAAATGTCTAATATAACAAAAAAAATCATTTTCATTAATTTTTTAAAATAAAATATATATTTTTTTTATGCATAAATTTATGACACCAAAATATAATGAACATAAATATCAAACTTTACATGCTAGATAAGCAAATATCTACTAATTATGTAATATGCATATAACATTTCTTTTCAATAAAAGTGAAGAAAATGCAAGCTGAAACATTATTATAAACTTTAATACTCGAATAGAAATTCTCCATAATTTGCGGATGCCGCATTAGTTGCGTGTTACGGGAAATTGACCAATCAATGACCATTGTCTAAACCGTGTGAGAAACATTTCAACTCAACCTACCTACCTACCTACCATAGACCTATATTTTATACGCTATTGATTCGGTTATTACAGAAATACCACCAACTTTTAACATTTCTCACCAAACACTTTCCCCACGTCACGTTGCGACAATCGCTTCAGTTTGCTTTCACATGATGGCCATTCAGACGAAACTCACGGCAAAAGAATACCGATATACCTTCAATTTTCAATCTTGTGGTTTGATTTGTGTGGCGCATTGCTATGCAATCTATTCCATTAAATATGATTTTCAAGGCATGTTTGATAAATGAGATTCAAAGCAAAATTTTAAGCACAATGGAAAAAGCCTGACAATAGAAAAAAATTTTGATGTCAAGAAATCCACCATGAGGCAAAAAACGAGGAGAATAGTATAAATTACATCACACATAAACATCTTCACATTTTCGGACACCCTAAAACACTCGCACTGTACGCCTATTACAATAGTATTTGAAATCCAGCACAAGATCATAGAAATAATCAATTAAAACCGACTTTCATGTTGTAGTGTTGCGACACTCTAATATGGAGTTGGAGCTCCATGCTCTCGGGTTTAAACACAAACTTTCTTCCATGAGTAACGTTGCAAAGATTTTTTTTTGGGTTGCAACTCGCTTGAATTCATATAGTAGAATTGAGGGGTCCGAGTCCACAAATGGTTGACCCAACGAAGCTCCACATAATAACATATTAGAATTAAATACGTCATAGAGTGGAATTTATGACTTTCTAAACTTTAATTTCTAGCAAATTTAAAATTGAACTTAATGCCTCAATGAGATGAACTCAACTACATTAAAAGTAATTTGATCTGAATGCAAATAAATTTGGATAAAGTTGTTAGTATGATTGAAAATTTTGTGATACTAATTGGAAGATTAATGATTTTAGAAATTTGCATATTAATAGTCAAATATAGCGTTCAAATTCATATATTGAACAAGCCAAAGATTATTAAATTCTAATTATGTTATTAAGATACTCAAACATTCAAAATACCTTAAGGTCAGAGGGATTAGTTTGACTATAAGGTGAATTTTTATATTTTGGTTGTATCTATATAGAATACCATTGTTATAGACATATATTTTTACATAAGGTAGACAAGATTTTTGGAAGAGAGATCTTAGAGATTAGACAACCTTAAAGTTGTATCATCTGCAATCACCATTTGACCACTAACATATAAGCACTATCATTGAACAACCCCTACCTGACCACAACTATCGAATCTCCAGAACAAATTGTCGCCAAACTGTTGCCATCAAAAGTCACCTTCGTTAAGCTACTACAATTTGGCTGCCATCATCAAACTATTATGGCGCTCCGACCTTCAATGTTAGATAGTTGCAGCCTAACGTCCACTACTCAATGCTATCATCCAACCCTCACCATCACTCAATCACCTCTATCAAATAATTGTAACTAAACTATTGGTATCAAATCATCATCGTTCAATCGTCGCCACCCAATTGTTACAACTCAATCACCCCCATTGAACTGTCATCACCTGGCCTCAATCATCAAACCCTTGCCACTCAACGACAACGATAACTAGTTGCTTTTAAACCTTCATTATTAGATGACAGCTGCCTGACCTCCACTGTTGGACAATGGCCACTTGAAAACCATTGTCATATCAGTATCACCAAACCTCCATCATTTGATGACAATTACTTGACCTCCATAATTATATCAAAATCAATTAACCATTACTATTGAACAACCATCAAACCATTATTGCTTAATTTTTATTATCTGAGTATCACTACCATCAAAATACAACGACTTGATCATTATATTTGAACCATAACTATCTAACTTGTACCTCCAAATTATCATCGCCACTATACCATTACCATCAGGCGACAATCATCTAATTATAATCACTTGATCATTGTTGTCTAACAAAAAATTGCTAACCACCATCACCCTAATATAGTCTCAAGAACCACCATTGTCTTATTTTAAACTCTCAATCATCATCACTTGACTACAATCTCCTAAACAGTCGCCTAGCCACACTTTGTTAATCACCACAGCTTGGCTAAAGGTATCAACTTTTATTGCTAGGCTATGATCACCCAACAACCATCTTTTAACTATGTCCATTGATGCTAACCAACCTTGTGACATATCATCACCAAAAGTGTCAACATATGTCATGATAAGAAAGACTAATGTTTGGCATTAACTTTAATTTTGAAGCCCATCAATCCTAAAAGGTCAACACGTGTTAAGACCAATAAAATTGATGCACACAGGCTTAACTAATAGCGATTTCTATCGATCTCATCACCCATCATTGTTAAATATTGGCACACACCATCACCTAAAATTTAGGTGCAATCTACTCTAATGTCAATATCTGCAAAGCTCTTCTCTGTCATAACCAATAGTATTTGCACATGCCATCACCTAAAAGAGTTAATGGGCATTTTAAACATCAATATTGATGTTGGCTAACCTTATCACGTGTCATTATTAACAACACTACTATTGCAATTGCCTATGAGGTCGACAATGCCATAAAAAGTGGCATCAAAACTCTCAATATATACCAAGCTTAAGAGCACAAAAAAAATAATAATAAATAAAATACCTCAGTTATTATACATAAATTTATAAGAGTACAAATACAATTATTATACTCATGAAAAAGTTTCTCCATGAATCTCAAAGCAGATGGCAACCTAGGAAGAAAGAACAATCAATCTGACGATAGCAATAGACGATCGTTTCAGATGGGAAAAACATAAAGATGACAAAAGAAAGTCTCTCAGGACGATCATTGGGAGGACTTCTTCGGACCATGAATTGATCGAACCAAAACTTATCAGACGATCGATGACCCTTATTGATCAAATAAGTCGCGATTCTTATTATATATAAATTACCTTATAAATTACCAAAAAAAACCCCTTGAAAGGTTAGCGATTAAGGGGCAATTACGTACTTTTGTAATAATGAGACCTAGATCTATAAATAGGGGTCCAAATTATGAATACATGATATCCTTTTACATGTCTACTACCTCTCTCTCTCTCTCTCTCTCCCTTAATTATCTTCTAATAGAACGTTGAATTCCTTGAGTGTGTTTCCAGGACAATCTTAGATTCAACAATTATATATGAAATTACAAATCCTACAGAGTAATTTAATCAAAATAATAATGTTAAAAATATGATTATTTAGTTAACAATAAAATACAATTATGACAAACTTGAGATCTGAGACCCCAACCCTAACCCCAACCACTGCTGCCTGATTTCCTCCTCCTTCAAATTAGCTGCAACAGAGCTCATTCCTTCGCTACCGCCCTTTGCATATGGTGCCCTTGCATTTAACCTGAAAAGTAATTAATTATTCAATTTATTCTTAATTAAAATAATCTTCGTTTGTAACACAGATTAAATATCTTAATTTATAATAATATGATCGTATGAAATAAACTAAAGGAGCTGCTCACCGATCTTTTCTCTTCTCCAGGAAGCGGTGGAGTGATGCTTTCCTTGCAATAGGAAGATCTGCTTTTCAACAAAGACAAAACAATAATTATTTACAAAAATAAAGATTTATTTTTTAACAGTTCATTTTTAATTTACAAAAACAATGTTTTAAAGTTAGAAAATATATTTATTTTTATTTAGAATAATTAAAATCTTCTAAACTAAATTTTACTCAAAATGTGGCTTCTAGTACAATGGAGTTATAATTTCACACATTATTAAAAAATAGGGATATTTACATACATACCGCACAATTCTTAGTTCAATTTTTTTATGCATGGCTTTATAACACAAGTGTAAATATCAAACTTTCGGTGTTAGATATATAAATACATAAGAATTTGGTGATATATATCTAAATTTCCCTAAAAATTAAGATAAATATTATTCACATTTTCTTAAGACAGACTAGAACGTAGAAATTTCATACAACACAATTTTTATGTGTGTACAAAGATGCATGATACTGGATCACATTAAATACAACTTTTCATTCAAGACCCCAATGGGTTATAAGTATAAATATCAAAACCCCGTGTTTGATAATGTAAAATTGCCAAATTTTGTAAATTGTTTAGAAGAAAGATCCCTCACCGGAGAAGTTGGGCGGCGGCGTGAAGCTGGCCGGAGAATCAGCCGGAACAGGGCAGTTTTTGCGATCCACAGCTGGCAAAGGCATTAAAGAGAAGCGCTTAGCGCCAGAAACCATGCCTGATTCTTTGTTCGCAAACTGCATCAGATCATCGGCCTTCTCCGCCGGAAAATTATCAAAAACCATCACCTTCCCGCCGTAAAATATTGTCAGCTGAGCTCTCTCCGTCTTCCTGCAAAATGCAGACCGCTCTCTGAAATCCCGCAATAATCGACCAACAAATCTTCGCGAATCAAAAAAATTACAGGGTAAAATTGCAGATTTAAGGCATACTTCGTTTCAGCAGGGGGATCCATGGAGTTTCGAACTGAATTTCCGCCATTAATGTCGGGCTGATCCTCGCCGGAGATTTCGACGCCGGGAAGCAAGTTCATCGTCGTCGGAACTCTATAAGCATCCCTCTTCCCTGAAAAATAAATTTTAACAAAAAGTTCAGTACCAATTAACAAACAGGAAAAATCAATCTCTCCTCCTAATCTAAGAAGGAGAACGAAATGCTATCTGTGGTCTGTAAATAATCGATCAAACAACTCCCTTGGAAAATGTTTCTATCTAATCAAAATTGTGCAACTTAAAAAAAAAAAAAACAGAGATAAACCAAACCAAGCTTCTGTTTCGATGCAGGGAATTCGAGCTTAAAAAACGAAAAAAAAAGTTCAAATTAACGCTGCAAATTCAAAATCGAACTCCAAATTTCTGATATTTCATAAATATCCCATGAATCAAACTGTAAAATACTTACCCAGAGAGCGAGAAGTCATTTCCAGGCCGAGATCAGCTGGAAACCCCTTCTCCTTGATATACTGGCTGAAGAGATTGCAAGTTAGCGAAAAGCTCAGCTTTTCCGGCCGCCGTTCGATCTCCGCACCGCCAGACATCTCGTCGCCGGCGAACTCTCTCCCTTTCTCTCTCTCAAACAGCTCCTCTGTTACAAATCCTTTCGTGCTTCTTTACTTTCCCTTCATGCTGTGAGGCGGTCTTTATAAAATTCTCCTTGCGTGTAGAGCGAGAAAAGCGCGGGATTTGAAGCACGTGATTCACGACCATGAAAAATTGGGGAAGGGAAACGTCATTTATTTAAAAAAGATAATTAAATTAGGTGGGGAGAAGAAACACGAGCGTAGTTTGGGCCAGCGGCAGGCTAAAATAGTTCTTAATGGGAAAGAGATTTTAAAAATATGATTTTTTTTGAAAAAAATGTGGTCCCGCCCACCGTCGGCATTGACGGAAGGGAACACCATTTGTAACGTTTAGATTTTGAGTAGCATTATCTTGAATGGGTCAATTTCAATGAAAAAAATTGGACCTTTGATTTATTTTATTTTTATTATTATTATCTTACTTTTGATTTAAGGGATTTAAGATGTATAACATGTTAAATTAAGTTTTTCTTACAACCCATTGTCAAAGATATTTACATATATAATATCTAAACTCTTAGCATATATCATCTCAAATATTTTAGGATTTAGGCACCTTGTGATTTCCAAAATCCAACTTGAATTAAATCTTAGAAGCTTCTAAATAACTTCTAAGATCACTCAAATTTGATGTCGTTAAAGCATTTAAATGCAAAAAAAAATGATCTTTAACCAAATGAACTAAAATAGATCGTCTCACGGAGTATTTTAGGATTCTCAATAGATTTTTTTTAAGTTGTTGCACTTGAGAAAATTTAAATAAACCCCCAAAGTGCACAGAGCCAAATATGAACTCATTAAGAGAGCTAGAAGTCAAACGCTACAAAAAATTATGATCAAACACCAATCGCTATCTAAAATATTTATTATAATGACAAAGAAATAAATAAATGTTCATAATGTATATTCCTGCCTTTTTTGAATGAGGAGAGTACTAAAATTATGAAACTTAAATTATAAAAACCTCATAATTTTTTTTATTTAAGTTTTTCATAAAAAAAAATTGTTATCACTTAACACTTTTACTAGTCTCCCCGTCTTCTCTAAATATTTTTATTAATTTAGGATTTTTATTTTTCTCAACTATTAAAATATTTCTATTATATAATTATTTTAAATAATAACAATAACAATAAAAATGAAATGATCTAAATTAGAGTGTATTGCACTAAAATAGCATTTAGCAAGAGGCATGGTTAGATCAAGTAATAAAGAGTAAGTATCGATCCATTAGAATTACGTGTCAACTATCAAAATTGAATCTGTTAGTTAATATTCAAACCACCAAAATAGATGACGATCAAAAGCAATATAAACTTAGGGCTAATAAAGAAACAACCAAACCACAATTTAAAGGCTATAATTTTGCTTGAGAGAATTAGTATGTTAGAGATCAAGGAATGCTATTTCACCAAGGATGACTAGATTGGTTAATTTTTGCTCTAGTTTTTTAACGAAAATAAAAGGCCATCGTTACATTTTTCTTAAAATTTTAGGATTTTTGTTTTCCTCTCACAACCTTTTTTTTTTTTTATGAGAGTTTCAATGCAGGAAAAAAAATGTCAATGCACTTAAAATTTAAATATAAAAAACATGAGCTCTTTGGAGTTTTCACTAACTCGTGGACCCTTCGATTGGATCTTTGAGTGCTAAGCTCTCTATCTTGGATGCTTGGTATGGTGTCTAAGCATCAACCTATTGCCCGATTTTGAAATCAATCCAAATTACACTTGTTGCACTCCAATTTGCTTGGATGATTGTATATAGTAAATGTCCACACTTTCCACTAATTTTAGCTTCAATCTCTTGCTCTCCCACAAAGTTTAAAATTTGATTATTATTTTTATTATAAACTTCATAAATCACATGCAAGTTAGCTTGATTTTCTTGATGCAAGTTGAGCTACATGCATATGATTTTTAATGGTTATCTTGAAGCCAACATCTTCTTTTTTTGTATATTAATTTATTGTATTCAAGTACAAGGCTAACTAAACTTTGACAAATAGGTTTATTATTATTTTTTGAGCTAAATATGTTCAAAGCACTTCAAATAACCTAAAGGTTAATGTTGTTGGTTTGACATTTGTCTAGTTATCCCCTACTATTACACTTGATACCTATAACTACAATCAAATAGAAGCTTTTATGGTTTTCCTTTGTGTTTTTGTACATTATGTTCCTTTTTTCTTTTTACATTATCATGATATTTAAACCACCTCTTTTTCATCAATCCATAAGTATATTCAATTTTGTTTTGAGGTAGATCATTATTAATTTATTATTGTTCACCTAAAATTAAATTTATTTTAACTAGGTAGATATGTATGATCAGATTATAGGAATAAATTTAATGGTGGATTTAATTGAGATTTTCCTAGAAACATTCAAGTTTAATGGATACTAAACATTGAACATAAAGATTCTACTTACAAGCTTGGCAAGTGGTTGAGCTATCGTACATGCACGCAACTGCATTTATTAGCGCCAAAGAGCACGTTATGGCATTCTTATATTAATAATAGCTTCTAAGTTATCATGTTGGTGATGCAAAATATCACATCATTTATTTTCAGCAATGAGGTCATTAATATAAGTTAGTAATATGTATGTTTTTATGGTAGGTAAAGAATGACATATGAATGCCCACCATCAACTCTTCCATTGAATAATCAATAAAGTATGACAAACTATATAGAACAAATTAGCATACCTAATACTTTTAAAATATTAGATAGAACAAAGAAGAAGATTCTAAAAAAAATATATGGAGTGCAAAACTGAAAAGATATAAGGTGCCTACAAATATTGACGATGTCGACTGAAGGTCATGTATCATCAAAATGTCCTATTTTCATCTAAATAGGTGTTAGTTCAAGCACAACAATCATTTTTCTATTTATGGGATAGTTTTCCTAAAGTGCAAGCTCTTCTCTTGTGTATAAATAGTGGTCTAGACTTGTAAAAAAGTAATTTTTACATTAAATAAATTGTAAGAATAAAATTGTCTTTTCTCTCCAAGATTGGAAAGTTGTATCCTCTTCTTTCAAGTAATGCATTGGATGTATCTTATTGCACTCAAGAATGGCGTCATCTTCTTGAGATTGCTTGCAAGAACTCACTCAGCAAAACAAGTACACAAATGCTTGAAGTTGAAAGAATTATCTATTTATCTGAACAAATCAATTAAGGTAGGAAATGTAGCAAGGAAGTAGTGTTATAAGTGCCGCAGTGGATCCTTTTTATTAATCTTTTCTAGAAAATATAAGTAATTAAAAAGCTTCTTAGCAATTTTTATGGCGGCAAATAAGATGCTTTTTTTAGTTCATAATTGTTAAGCTCTGTTAGTCATTTTTAATGGATTCTTAATTATTTTTGTCTGCTGAATATTTTGCAATGTTAAGCTTTGATGTGTGCTAAAAAATTCGAGGCGATAGAATAGTAAATTGTTGTTTAAATATTGTACGAGAATCCAACAGATACTTAGATGAAAGAAGATACTGGTAGACACACCAAAAGTTTGTACGTGAAAAATATGAAAAGAAAAAAAATATATAGGGTCTTGCCTAGTTAAAAAATTTTATTATTAATTGATGATTACAAACACAACCCCTTGTTCCACAGGTGTGAAAGAGTTACACAGTTTCTCAAGTTACAACGTCAGTGTGTAGAAGAACTCATTGTCTTGCGGTAAGGAGCGATCACGACTGAGAGTTAATGTTGGAGCTTCAAATGCATCGTCATCGAGGCGAGCATGACGTTTGGGATGATGTGCCACTTCGTAGGTTGCTTCGCTTTTCTACAGTATCGATTGTTGCTTCGTGAATTACTTCATCACAAGAAGCTGTTAATGACCAATGGTTGTCGGTGACAGTCAGTGAGTGTTGGTAGATAGTGGTTGGCGGCGGTAGAAGCAAGAGGTGTTTGATGGATCGTTGTGCAAGAATCTAAGCTTCAACTCCCTCTTCTCCGGGTTTTGGTCCTCTTCTTACACATGATCTCACTCAAATCTCAAGATGTGGTTAGGGCTCTATTTATAGTCCAATTTACAATTAAGGCAAGAATCTGAACCACTCTAATTTGAAGGCCCCGAGAGATCATCTTGATCAGACGATGTTCGATGACATTTAAGTGGCTTAATGATATCATAATTGAGCAATATAAGCTCGTTAGATTTGTCTTGTCGAGAAGCTTAATTTGAATATAAGTTTGCCAATTTATAATATGTTTGACCTTCCAATTATGCTTGCAAAGCTTCTGAAATTGTTTTAATGGCTTGATTTGACTCGAATTGAACCAATTTCATTATCTTAAGTATGTTTCGTCAATCCGATCAGTTTAACTATAAGTTTACTAAAATCGAAATTCTGAATGACTCTTAATCTAAATTTGAATATTTATTACTCTGAAGTTATCTCGAGATTCATATCATATCTCCATATCCGTGTAAGGCAATAAAAATTTGTCGATGCTGTATTGAGCTTAATAATATATAATTTGTTGATTGTTAAACAAAGATTTGCATATCTCAACTGCAACATTTCATTTATACACAAAAGTTATATCATATTAAGTTTGATAATGAAAATATACACCTTAATTCGTTACTATAAACATAGAAGTATAATATTGTTATGTATGGCTCATATACCACATAAAGGACACATGTTGGAGTGGAACGGAGCGAGCGAAGTGGAGCTCGCGAGCAGAGTGGTTGGGGGTGCGGGGGCAATACCCCCACGCTACGGTACATGAGTAATTTTGTAATTACATATTGTATTCTCTTGTTATATAAATGTTTTGTTTTGTAATCATATGAACATATTTCATGCTCTTTTTTGAAATTGAAGGAAAGTCGTCGTTCCTCTCCCGATGATGTAAGCATTTTTGCCTAACCTCGTTAAATCTCTAAATTTTCTTTTGGATTTATGTCAATTCTTATTTTTCTTTGCCCTAAAATTTTCAACAAATATATAAACTTTAATAGTATACACACCAAAATTTATTTATATATTTATTGAATTACAATTGATTAAAAATTTTAAGAGGCGGACACAAAAAAACTTAACAGCAATACATTTGTTGCAAATTTTCCTCCATATATTGAATAGATTATAGGAGCTTAGAATGTAAATATTAAAATGTGAATGTTAGATATATATAAATAGCATAATTTAAAGTGCTCCACATGTAAATTCCCCCATATAAAATAAACATATCTCAAAATAGTCTCAAGTCTTTATTGAATTTTGGGTCAACAGTTAATTTCTGTGTCGGTCATCTATTGGTCAAGGTCCTGTTTCGCTTTTGATTTCCAGGACAAGCATTCACTGTTTGAATTATTACTTCAATCAGGCACAGCACATGCCTTCCACATATATATATATATTCTAGCTTAGGAATTAAAAAATGTATTTCAATTAAAAAAAATAGTGATAATTTCTAAATGATGTAAAAGATTTGAGTATGAGAGATAACAAATCAAATTTGAGCTGAGTTAGCGGAAGCTCCAATAGATTTTGTACGGTTTGAAATCGACTTGTGGTTCGTTATATTTGCTTTAGAGTCGAGCAGACTCGAAATTGAATCAAACTCAATCCCGTTTGTTGGCTTAGATTGAGCATTTTGGATTTGTTTCAGCCTAGAATAGGCTCTATCCGGCTCGAAATTGAAATTAACTGGCTCAAATTCTATTATTTGGATCCTCCTTCAAGCTCAAAATCATCTTGTAATAGGGTCTTAACTCTATCATATTCAATTTTATTCAACATTATATATATAATTTTTATAAATAAAAAAAAAATTATGAGCCGACCTCGAGTCAGTTCAAACTGATTTACGTAGATACATGAGATTTGGGTTGTCTGTATGTAAATGCTCAAAGAATTTCCCGCACTGTCGCCCCATGCGTTCGCTACATTTAGTCCCATATTAGGAAGAATCTTTATTAATGTCACATTAAATGTAAAAACAAGCACAATTCTTTAAAAATTTTTAGCTCTTTGTGGCTATGAAATAAGGAAATTCTTGCTTTTGGATTTTAACATGAAAAAAAACTTATTTTAAGAATTTAATTATATTATTTTGAGTTATTAAATTTCAATAAATTATTATTTTGATTCAAACACGAACTGCAACAAACAAATGAATTTGAATCAAGCCGAACATGAGCATAATTTTCACGAACTATTTCTAACTCGAGCCTATTTCGAGCTAAGAAAATTTCGAGCAAGATAAACACATAAAATATTTGATTCACTCAAAACTCGACTCTTTTACACCCCCACTACCTTGCAGGCTTTTTCAAGCAAAGAAACTGCTCTAATTTAGATGAACAAATCAAATAAAGCAACTAATAAAAAATACTTCAAATGATAAAAATCCTCCTTCTTTAATGGCATGGAAGTGATTATCATTATTATATTACGGCACTTATTTGGATTATATAATTTTAGTCAATATCTATAAAATTTAAAAAATGTTCATTTACATACATACCCCCCAATTCCTATCTATTTACATATCTAAAGCTTAAACTTTATTTTTCATATTTATACCATAAAAATTTTTCATATCAGATAAAAAATAATGTTATTATAATTCTTAAAAGATAAAATAGAATTTTTCATGCATGGAAAAACGCATATATGTAAAAACTAGTTTAGGTGTTAGATCTGTAAATATCTAAAAATTAAGTGGTACGTGTGTAAATATAAAAAAAGCAGAGACCAATTATTAAACACAATTATTCCGACAGGAAATTGTGCTTTTCCTGAAAAAAAAGTAAAAATGGTAATAGTACGATGAAATTACGTACATTTTGTAATGGCCAAATCAAGACTATATGGGCCTATGGGCTGTTTCGTTTCATTTGGCAAAACATTATCCCGGAGTTCAAAGCCCATAATGACATGCGCACTTCATTTATTACTTAAAAAAAAATTAATGCTTAAAGATGAATATGCATTTTGATATTGATGTTGATTAACTTATTTGGGGCGTTCACATAGATAAAACTATAGATATTATCATTCAAAAAAGGGGCTTTTACATATACACCATTACATTCATATGTATTTACATATCTATTTTATTTTTTTTATATTTATATCACCCAAATCATTCCTATTACCGCTAAAATATCACTATTTTTATTTAAAAAAATGAAATATTGATTTTTATGTATAGATAAGGTGATGTAGATGTGCAAAATAAAGTCTATATGTTTGATATGTAAATACATGAGGTTTGAAGGGTTTCTATGTACATCTTTCTTTAAGGAAAAAATGAAATGCCAAAAAAAGTTTTTTTTTTAAATCAAGGAAAATTTTGATTGAGAGGACGTATAATCTTTAATGAAGCCGCTCTACCAACAGGTCACGGCTGGCGGTACACACAAACTCACACACATATACATTCATGTAAATATGTATATGTATATAAACGTAGAAATATATACGTATATAAATAACATTTATACATATATAGATATACCTATGTACATATATATACATACATATATAGATATATACAGATCAAGCGAATAACCTATATAACTATCTACTGAATGACTCGTGTTAATTCCTCTTGATCATAAGAGTTTTTTTTTTTAATTAATGATCTGATGGCCTTAATGACGTTGGAATCAATTGATCTTGGGCTTTGTTGGATTTCTCTCATCGATACACTTAATTTGATCATAATTACATCAAATTTGGAGTTCATTTCACTCTCCAATTAACTGCACGGTCCTCCAAATGTGATTTAATGACTAGATCCATTTTTGTTTGGATACGGATTAAATTAATTTTGATATTATTGGGTTCGTCTTGTCGAAAATATTAATTTGATCATAAACTTGTTAAAATCGAAGCTCATGATGATTTTTAATTTAATTTGAAATATTTTTTTCGGATAATTTTTCATGTAGATTGATAAAATTTTATGATGACATGCATGTGCATGCGTGCATGCGTGCATGCATGCGGTCGGACGGACGTGAGTGTGTGTAGATAATATTAGTTGCAAGGACAGCCCAAGTCCAGCACTGTCAGATAAAAGTAATGGAAGAGATAGATGAAGATTCCAGGTTTGTAAAATAAATAGGAATAATTAATTGAGATGAATTATAAATTAAATACTATCCTATTTAAATTTAGATTGCAATATTACAAAAAATGGGGTATGGTTTGATTATGAATATTTTTAGGGTCATGAATGAACTATAAGGTTATATGATATATTTGAAGTCATTTATATGAAGATCAAAATATTATGTTTTTTATTATGGATAATTAAATTTCTAAACAAAATTTTATTTCTATTAAAACAAAATTTTGGGATTAACTTTGGTTGTAATCTGAAAATTGACTCTATTTCAAACTTTTTGATTTGATTCAACTCAAATATTAAAGAAATCACAAAGTATAAACTGAATCTGACTTAACCTGACCAGCTTGAAGCTAACTTGGAGAACACTTTTAACATATGTGATGCGTGCGAGAAAACTCGCAGCGATTGAGTAATGGATTATTGTCTTAGCTTTGCACGAGGATTCAGCATTTACTCAGATGAAAAAGAATCAACATGTAATGGCATCAAAAGTTTTTACGTGAAGATCTTATTAAGAGAAAAAACAATGGGGTCTGTCCCAGTTATAAAAATTTCACTATAAGTTAATGATTACAGAGGCCCCTTGTCCCAAAGACGGGAAAGGGTTATAAGATTTTTCAAGGTACAACCTCGACTGACGACGTCTAGTTAGTGGTGGTCAACAACAGTTGAGGACGATTGGCGGTGGTCGATGGAGGTCAACGATGATCGGCAGCGGTCGACGACGGCTGACGGCAATCGACGGGGGTCAGTTGTGGTCGTTGACTGTCGATGATGCTTGGCGGTGTTCAACAACTATCAGTGGTGGTTGAGTTGACGGAGGTTAGCGGTGGGTGACGGCAGTCCACGACGGAGGTCGGTGGTGGTCGACGACGATTGGTAGTGATGCTGAGCTGCAACTTCTCCTGAAGACCCCAGACATTCTCTCTAGACTTCCTTCTCATGAGAGGAATGGAGCTCTATTTATTGTGTTCTGGGAGAAATTAATGCAGGAATATGAACCATTTTGATCGGACAGTCCGGAGAGCTTCCCTCGATCATACGACGTTTAATGGACATTTGAGTGTCTTAATGATGTCAGAATTGAGTGAACTTGGGCTCGTTGGATTTGTCTTGTCAAGCTGCTCGATTTGAGTATAAACTTGTCATATTTGACAGTCATTTGACTTTTCAAATGTATTCATAAATCTTCTAATTATGATTTAATGACTTGATTTTGGCTTGGTTTGACTTGGATTGGGAAGGTTAAAAATTTGTGCAAGTTATGTAAATTTCCCTTATTTTATTTTATTTCTTTGAACATCTGCATGCTGAAATGAACTTAGGCCATGGCACGATCTTCTACTTCTTAAAATATGCTCCTATCGTATATCTTATATCTTATATATATATATTTATATATATATATATATATATATATATAAGATTTTAATGTACAAATAAAATACTACTTTTAATATTACCAAAACAACAAGCCCAAAGCCTAAGATTGTGACCGACGACGTGTAATTCAAATGCCACGTCACCCCGTTTCCAATTATTAAAACGGACGTCTCCGTACGTTGTCTTATTATCGCGTGGATTTAAGCGTTGTGGGTCCAACTCCGTACATTGACGGTACTATGCCCACAACTCTCTAGATACATCGTTTAGATAAAATAACTACGCTGCATTGACGGTCAAGATGGCATCAAGAAATATTTCAACGGTTTAAATTTTTTTAATTTTTTGCGAGTCTAATTTGCAAATTTACACATGAGGTCAAAAAGTCAAAAACTTCGTCTCCTCGCTCGGAGGTTTAAATATAGACCAACGGTTCAATAGTTCTACACTGACACCATATCATCATCCTCAACCGGGCGATGGACGGCTCTGTTGTCGCCGGAGGACCTTCGCCTCCGCCGCCACCGGTGGCGGAACTTGGGGATACCGACAATCTCATCCTTCACTGGGACCCGACGGTTTTGCCGTCGTGCAACGAAATGGTGTTCGACGGCAACTACAGCACCCACGCCGTGAGAAACTCGGTGGCCGGAACTAGGTTTAGCCATAAAAAGTCACCGTCGCAGGCGATCACCGTGGTTCAACTCGAAGACGAGTTCCGACACATGCTTGTATCTAGGGCAAACAACTACGAGATCAACTCGCTCGTTGATTTGGGCTCCCTCTCCCTCACCCATTCTAACTCCGACGCCGAAGACGAGAAATACCAGCTTCAGCGGGCCGAAGGAAGCAGTAGTGACCAATTTACGAGCTACCGCTCCACTAGTAGCATTCATGTGATCGATCTCCTACCTCCCGATGCCGTCAACAACCTTCGCAGCATCGCCGATCGGATGATCGCCGCCGGCTACGGCCGCGAATGCTTTCAGTTATACGGAAGCGTCCGTAAATCCGTGTTGGAACTCTGTTTCCTTCATCTCGGCATCGAGAGGCTCCGTATCTGCGATGTCCAGCGGCTGGAGTGGGATGCTCTGGAATCCAAAATCCGTCGGTGGATTCGGACCGCTAGGGTTTGCTTTCGGATCATATTTGCCAGCGAGCGCCGGCTCTGTGATCTATTATTTAAAGGCTTGTCTGGAGACGAAACCCCCTTTGTTGAATCGGTGAAGGGTTTGGCCATCCAACTTCTTAGTTTCGCTGAGGCCATCAGCATTGGCCGCCGATCTCCGGAAAAGCTCTTTAAGGTTCTCGATCTCCATGATGCTCTGACGGATTTACTTCCTGACATCGCCATCATATTCCGATCCAGAGGATCAGAATCGATAAACACGCAGGTTGTTGAGATCATCGCCAGGCTTGCCCAAGCTGTTCGAGGAATCTTATTGGAGTTTGAGAATGCCATTCTCAAAGAACCCTCGAAAATTCCAGTTCCTGGAGGTACCATTCATCCTCTTACGAGGTATGTGATGAACTACATCGGCCTCATTTCTGATTACAAGCAGACTCTGTTTCAACTCATCAATTCGAGGCCTACTCTGTTACTCGGCAATGGCTTCGGTGGCGATTTTCCGGATATAGAGCTGCCGGAACCATTGAATCAGTCTCCCCTTGCTTTCCATTTAATCTGGATAATCTTTATACTCCAATTCAATATTGAGATTAAAGCGCAGGTCTACAAGGACGACTCTTTGTCCCATCTTTTCCTAACCAACAACTTACATTACATTGTTCAAAAGATTAAGGGATCAACGGAGCTGAAAGAATTGATTGGGGATGATTATCCGAGGAAATTGACGGCTAAGTTCCGGCAGCTGGCTACTGGTTATGAGAGAACAACATGGTTGAAGATTCTATACTGCTTGAGAGATGAGGGTTTACATACAGGAGGAAGCTTATCATCTTCTGTGTCAAAATCCAGTCTTAGAGAGAGATTCAAAGCTTTCAATGCCGCATTTGAAGAAGTTCATCGAACGCAATCGCTGTGGTGTGTGCCCGATTCTCAGCTAAGAGAGGAGCTAAAAATTTCAATACTTGGAAAGTTATTACCAGCTTACAGATCATTTCTGGGACGATTCAGGAGTGAAATAGAGAGCAGAAGACATCCAGAGATGTATCTTAAGTACTCAACTGAGGATCTAGAGATAGCTTTGGCTGATTTTTTTGAAGGTTGCCAGCCTCGTCCACTTGGTAGGAGAAAGTCCCGTTGAAGGTTATTTAGGCTTGCAGAAGCTATTCTTTTTTTCTTTTTGTGTTCGATGGATGACGAGAAAACATGGCGTTGATTGAAAATCTCAATCAAAGATGTTCTTTTCGGATGACTTGGAGACGACTGATTCAATTTTTGAAGTTGCTCGGATCCCCTGAAAGGTTTCCTTTGTAAGTTTATTTGTTAAATATTTCTTTTTTTTTGTTGAAGTAAGCTCTTATGAATAAGATATTGTAGATACGGGCATTGGTTTCATTCAAGTAGTAACTTTTTATCTTCTGAAATATGGATTTGTTGATTTTGCTTGTTCTGATGAGAGACGCATCAAGTTTCAATTTTGTATAAATTGTACTATACACACTATTACAGATTGCTCATTTTTCTGATAACTATGATTGAATGATTATTTAATGTATATATATATATTGTATATCAAAAAAAAATGTTCGCACTGATCATACAGAGATCTAACATCCAGAAATGCAGCGAAGGCATTTTGTACATCAAAACAGTGTTTGGACCGATCTTACAAAGATCTAACAATCTAGAAATATGATGGAGGCAAACCCACTGCAAGGACACCAGAGGCCTACCTAACCACGCGAGTCAAGTCATATGAGCCAAGTTAACTAGGCCAAAACCGACCGAACCAAGGGCGGACAAGAAGACGATCGAGCGATTCAGGTGCAGCCATTCGATTGGAAAAGAGACAAGAGAGCTTCTAAGCCATCCGTTGTAGAAAAGCTGGCCCACTGCAATAGTCTATCCTGCCACAAAGCTGACTGAACGGAACTCAATTGACCCAAAAACTATTTGTCTGGATGGAAGAAATTCAACCAAGCTGGATCAATTGATCGATCCCTATCGACCAAGTTCATTCGATTGAGTTGGCCTAGTCGAGCCAGAAGGCAACCTTTCGATAAGCCAACGCTTGTAAAATATTAACAATATCTTAGTACATACCCTCTCCATATGAAGCAAATTTTGCGTGTGATATTCACATGTGTGGATCGATGGAATTGGGTTGGTATTCATCTCAATACCATCTGAAGACCACCTCAATGCCACCAATCATTCACACTTAATATTTTTACCTTCATATCATGGTAAAAATTTAACAACATCATTGTACTAAATTTTTTTTTAAAATTCGGGAAACATTTAAAGTAGAAGCAACACTTTAACTTAAACTTATTATTCAACTTATATTAAATATTTTATATAATTTTAACTTATATAAAACATTTAATGTAGAAGCAATACTTTAACTTAACATATTATTCAACTTATATAAAATATAATTTTAATTTGTTATGATTAATTGTCTTCCTAATGGTTATGGTGCTTCTATTTGGTGGAGGAGGTGAGCTCCTTGTGCATATATTCAATGATTTTCATTGTGCTCCTATTCATTAAGAATGATACATATCTTTTCTAAATTAACACACTCTTGATATGAAGAAATTATAACATACTGAGATCAAAGTATAAATTTTTATATTATATGATTCGATGATTGATTTGATAGCTATAGTGAATATAATTATATGATCATGTAATTAAAAAAATTCATGCTATTATTGCTTCTATAAAAGCACTCACAAGGACTAATCATATGGAAGGACTATAAAACTAAATAAAAATAAATAAATATGTCATCATATGATGGATAATGTGAGCTCAATTCAATGATGACAATAATTAGTATCAAACTATTTAATATATTTGATTTTTATATTTATTGAACTACACATTGTCTCGACTAACATTTGTTATGATTCTATTTAGTCTATTAAAGATTAATTGCATTTGTTGTAATAATATTCCGAGGTTATTATTTAGCACTTTTATGCATAATCAAGTAATCATAGAAAAATCAATTTAAATAATCCATTATTATTAAAATACAAAAGTGGTCGATCATCATATATGCATTTTTATCTACCCCTTTCTATAGTTTTATATTACTATTAGCAATTGTTTAGTTTGATAATTGTCATTAACAATACGATTAAATATTTATCTCTTTTTAAGATGATCACTCTTGAAAAGGATAGAGAGAGAAAGATAGAGATGGCTTGATGTCTCATACATTCACTTAATTATATGAATATATTAAGTGAATATATTAATTCATCAAATTTGTTTTAGACGATGTGGTACTATACCCTTCTGCCCATCACCAATTTCTGTTCTATAAATAATTGACAAAATCTTTCCTTCAGTATGCGTCCCATTTTACCAAATCTTTTTTTTCTGCACGAGGGATGATTGGTCTGAAGATCTATTGTTTTTTCACCCAATTCACTTTTGTTTGCATGCATACCACCTAAAATTTTCGTACAACGTCATGCATTATTATGGGTAACTAACTGGAAGGTAATATGAAAGTAAATAGCCAAGTTTAAATATTGAGTAAAGTGCCAATAAAAATTCAAAAAAAATTCACGAATTATTTGAATGAGAATATTTTAATCTCAATATTTATAGAAGTTTTAAAATAATCCACGCATTAAATTGAGGCTGAAATAATCTTCATAGCAGACTATTATAGCTCGATTTTAACATACTTGCGTATGATTTTAACACTTCTATATATTGAGACAAAGACAACCCATGTAAATAATTTGACCTACATCAAAATTGTATTTTGGCACTTTAATGCTTCACACACACACAGCGAGCGTGAGAGAGGGAAAAAAATTACGTGTGATAAACGTACGCAGCGCTACGTGCGATATTGGGGTATACCGAGGGTACAAGTGGGTTACATCAACGGTATAAGCCCTTGTAACCTCCCTATAACTTACATGTAACGTCTTAATATATGATAACAAAAGCGCGAAACTTATTTTAGAGTACAGATAGGTTACAGGAAGTTACAGGGAGGTTACAGGAAGTTATACCGCGGATGTAACCCCATTATACCTTCGGTATAACCCCAATATCGCACACAACGCTGCGCACGTCTATCGCACACAAATTTTTTTTCCGTGAGAGAGGAGGAGAGACTCTTACATGCATGTCTCTCAATTCCTATGCATTTATATATTTAACACTTACAATGTAAAAAAATTAAAATTTAGGCGTTAGATATGTAAATACATATGAATTGCTGTGTGATAAATATGCAAGAGCCCCAAATTCCTACATTTTTTAATCACATCTATATCCCAATCTTCTTAGCACATCAACATTCGCATTATATTACACATCACCAGGCCAATCTCAATACAATAAAAGCATCTTCCAAAAACAAACAACAGAATATACACCCCCACTTTCACCCTCATCAAACCAGAAAATTACATATATACCATTTCTATATAACATGCAGTCTAATCAGAGCCGTCGCAGCACAGCGAACAGCATGCTAAACATGAGAGGGCTGTGCATAACTGGGTGAGAGCTATCGCACACTGATCGTTCATCTTAGCACACATTTTGATGCAGCACACACAGCAGGAGCAATCAAATATTCCGCTGCAACAGCCAACAGCTTTTTCAATGACCTCCAAAGTCTGCGTCTGCTTTGATTTTCTACAACCTGGTGGAAGATTCTCTGCGGTCGCCAATGGGTTTCCGAATCCGGGAGTTAAATTATCAAGCAATGTTGGCGTTTGAATGAAATCAGCACCACTTTCAGTCTTCGGTTTTTCTCCTTTCTTTACAATCAATAAAAATAAATTAATTGTTAGAGAGAAGTGCTATAGCAAAGCATTAGAGATATAGAGAGATTATTGCAGATATATTAACATCTGAAAGTGAGAGGGTGCCACTTGTCAAGTGGATCTCATCCTTTTAAAAAACCTACCGATCAGTGCATTGTAGTAGGGCCCACTTGCGACGTGGCAAATTCCAATTGGACTTCGGACGCAAATTTTTCCGGATGTAAATTTTTTTCTTTTTTTCGCGGGGGCCAAACTGTTTCCCTAGACTCAACGTGGGAGGGGCTATGATGATAGTTTAGGAAGAGCAAAAAAGCCAAATTGGCCTTCCTGGGTCTACCCCTAGTGCCAACTAATTTTGCATACATGCCTCATAATTCTTATGTATTTGCATAGATTTGAAATTTACATTTATAAGGCATTGGTTGGTTGTATAAAACTATGCATGAAAAGTTAGGAAAACTGATATTGTTTTATGTGATGTTAATGATTTGAGTGGTACGCATGCAAATATCAAAATTTAGGTGCTCGATATGTAAATATATAAGAATTGTGTGGAGTATATGTAAATGCACCCCTTATAATTATTTTGTTGGGCAGTGTGGCCTCTTTCTTAAATGGGATGTGTTCGAAATTGCGTTGACTTGAATGTACTGAAGCATTTCTCGTTGATATAGACAAATGGTACCTTATGAAGGGCTGATGCTACGTTTCTATTGAAAAAAAAGCACGGGACAGGTAATATCATTTTTTAAGGGATAATCACATTCAGACCACCCCAATATTAATATTTACAAATTAACATTTTTTTTAACTACCGAACCCATATATTTATGCATGTCACAATCAAACTATTGACAACTTGATAAAAATGAAAAATATGGGCCATAGTTTTACCATGAAATTTTATATTTCGGTGAGAATTTAAAATTTGGATAAAAAAGAGTCGTCGATTTGTAAATAACAAGTTTCAGATGATTTGTGTGTAATTGCTTCTTTTTTTTTTAATTGCTTCTATACACTAAGATGCAATATAAATGATATTGTGAAATATTTGTTTGAATCAAAATTTTACCTTTTTTTTAATGCTCTTTCATTATCATCTTTTTGATCTCTGAAATTTCTATCAAATACTAATAAATGATATTTTGATTTTCTAATTAATCCTATCCTGCACTATATTGTTTTCGATAAATGATACTGTGAAATATTTTCATAATTCGTAGAAGTTGGGACTCAAAAACACATCAAAACTTTGTCCATTTTCATTCTTCTTCCATTATTATCTCAATGATCCGTAGAATCTCTCTTGCCTTTTCACAAAAAAAATTAGGAGTGTTATCATTTTGTTCATACACATTCTCAAAATAGCGAAAAATTGGATCCGCAAGAAATTAAAAGCATTTTCACTGGCTAAAATGGATATTATGGAAAATGATATCAATTTATCTGATATTACAAAAATATGGTTGGGCACAACACATAATGGATATTGGCAACAAAGTGTCATGGAGCATAGACTTTTTTATTGTACCCACTGTAATATATTTAAGCATTGTTGACCTCGCTTTCGATTGTGGTGCACTTTTCCCCTCCTTAGTAGCCTAGGATCTAGCCGTAGGACCTTTCTGTCGACTACTCCTAGAAAACTAGTGAAGGAGCCCTCCCCGTTAACAATTCTGAACTTTTCTTCTCGACTTGACGTTCCATATAGTAGTTTTAATCGCCATTGTTTGGTAGGTAAGACTACTTTGAAGAAACTCAGAAAGTATTCCCATAGAACTGTCGGCCTTAGAATTGACTGTACTCGTTGATTTGGCGCCGCCGCGCTCTTCGCCATCCTGTTTAATCGAATTCGAGCCGAGTTTTTGACTTGATTCAGGTCGCGACACATTTTCGTCCCAATCGTCAATGGGATCATCTAAACGACTCCGGATAACAAAACTGACTGCGCCGATGCGTTCGGAACATCGATTTTGCCTAGGGTGGACGTTCGTTTCATTGTGACGACACGTCTTAGGGAAAAATACACATTTAAGTGTTAATTATAATAATAAATAATAAAATATTATTATTATTATTATAATTAATAATATTTATTAATCCCTAAACCTAAATCTACCTTTCCCCTTCCCTTCTTTCTCTCGAACCCGCGGGCCTCAGCCCTAACGTGGCTCGTTCCCTCGGTCCGTCTCTCCCCCTTCCAT